AACGGCTACGCATACAATTGCCCCTCACTCTAATAAATTTGAAGGTTTTTATTTTTTATTTTATATTATAAAATTTTTAATCTTTAAACTTAAAGATTTAAAAATTTTAATCTCTAAATTAATGGAATTCATTAACTCTACATTAAAATGAAAATAAAATATTTATAAAAGCATTCCTAAAATATTAAAAATATAATAATTTAGTTCTAAAAGTTCAAAAAAATTAAAAAATTTAGTAAATTAAAAATAATTAGTAGATGTCTTTGTCACGTACAAAAGAACATATTAGATATCTATAACAAATTGAGTGATTAGGTCAATATAAAAAAAAAAATTGGTCTGAAACTAAAGAAAATTTTTTAATTGTATTATTTTAGTCTCTTGAAATTTTTATTTTAATTTAGTTAAAAAAAATTTTAATATCAGTCAAATTTTTTTTTTCAAATTGAGTTAATCACTCAATTTATTATAGATACCTAATATTATTTTAGTATATGTAAAAAAGTTATCTATTATTTTTTTTTAATTTGCTAATTTTTTAAATTTTAAATTTTTAAAACTAAATTATTACATTTTTAATTTTTGAAGATTGATTTTATAAACATTCTATTCTTACTTTATAACTTAAGGAGAGTTAACGATTTTTGTTAATTAAAAATTAAAATATTCAAATTTTTAGGCAACAATTTAAATAATTTAATAATAAATTTTTTGGTTGAAAATACAAATTTTTAAGTTTAAATCATATAATATAGAAATAGAATGAGATAAAAGATACAAGAGAAGGTTAACTCCATTGTGCAACTAACATAAAAAAAAAAAATTTTCAAACTTTTTTAAGTTTAAAGGTTAAAAATTGCAAACATAATAAGGTAAGTGCTATGTGTGGTTTAGCCTCCTCCGAACAGACCCAAATAGATGTAAGAGCCGCGTTTGCGATTGAGGAAAGCGACAAAAGAAGCTAGATCACGACTTCGTAGGAAGCTGAATCTAGAAAACCTCAAACTCTGCAGCGATTAACTCTACATGGATGGGATGGTTACAGGGTCGAAGAAGAAGCAGCGATTGAATCATGATCACAGGTCGGCAGCCATGGTTGCGAAGAAGAAGAGCCGGACGCGGGGGCCCAACAGTCAATGGTCTCGTCTTCCTGATGATCTTCTTTGGAAAATTGGGAGCAGGCTTGATTTCGTAGAACGGCAGCGTATCTCTCAGACTTGCAAGGCCTGGGAATTGCCTTTGAAAGGATACTCTTGGCTGCTGTGTCATCCCCTTGAACGCATTTCTAGAGGAACATTGCGTCAATTCAAGCTCTACGAACCAGGTAACCCTAAACCCTGCTTGCTGGAAAGGGATTTCAGAGAAAAGGGAGTAAACAATTTTGTTGATGCAAAGATTTGTGCTTCAAAATTCAGCTGGTTGCTTTTCCGGAAGAACGTTTCTAGGGATTGCTTCTTCTTTCTGTACAGTCCTTTTGCTGCTAAAAACATAGTGCTGCCAAAATTATCTGGGTTGCCCCCGTCTTGCCCTGAAGTTGCGTTTTCCTCTGATCCAACATCTGGGGATTGTGTTTTCTACCTTCTCTATGAATTCTCAGAAAAAGTGAGTCTCTATGAATTCCAAAAGGGAGAAATGCACTGGAAAGAATATGTTTTGAGTGAGATTTCATGTGGGTGCGGAATGAATCATGGGATGGCCATTATTGTGTTTAAGTCTCTGGTTTTCCTTGATGGGATGTTGTATTGTCTATTTACTTGTGGAGAACAACGGTATTCAATTGCTAGCATCAACATTATTCAACGAGGATGGAGATTGTTGAAAAGTTTTTCTTTGCCATCATTCGAAGTTGGTAAGTATAGTGCTGTAATGCTTGAATCCAACGGTGAACTCTTGGTGATCCACTGCATCAGTCAAGGGCTTTATCCCAAATTCTGTATATTCAAGCTTGATCGCCCTCAAAATGCTTTGTTTGAAATAACAACCCTTGAAGATCAAAGTCCTGTGTTTTTTATTGACTGGCATGCTGCATTCTCAGTTGAAGAACATAGAGAAAAAAGGAAGCAGATGATAAACAAGGAACGTGGCAGTAAAGAATTCCGTTGCAGAAATATTTTCATGAAAGAGAATAAGGTTTATGACGATTATATTACTTATAATTTGGACTTGCCAAAGATGCCTTCGAATTCAACGTTTCTCTTTCTAGATCTTAGGAAATAACATGGATCAAAGGATTACAATTTCCTATGTATGCTTTTTATTAGCAGATTCTCGTGTATGATATAGACCAAACAGAGCTACTCTGTCATGTTTTTGGATATGTGTAAGTGTAATTATGTGTAATTAAGCTGAAGCAATGTTAATCATATATATTTGATTAATCATGTCTTCCTTTGAATGTACTTGTTTTGCGCCTCATTTGTTCGCAAATGAGTGGTTGCCTCGAGGATGATTACAGGGGTGGTTAAGCAAGGTGATTTTCCCTTGTCATCAATAAAAACAAGCTTTTGGAAGTATATTTTGTGGTAATTGCTAAGTGTTGGTGGTTTTTGGTCTGTATAGAGAGGTTAACTTCTTTACATTGTGGGTATTTTCTGATGTCCCACTTGATATTATTGACTCGAAAGAGACATGGCTTAATTCAATTTTAAATGCTCTCGCGTTAGTCTGTTGAAAGTGATTCATTTACAACTGTTTCATGGGTAAGAAGAAAAGATGTGCAGATTAGGCCTTCGGTTTATTTATTTATTTATTTTTTATTGTTATTATTAATTTCCTTTGGTTTCAATGAGACAATATTGTGAAGCTGTTGCTAAAGGTACTGTATGTTTATGTTTATAGAAAGAAGAACCAGTTGTTGATTTCTGTGTGAAACAGGGGACTGGCACAAAAGAATTGTGATTTACCTAGTTGATTTTTAATATTTCGATGTTTGATTTCTTGGTATATTTTCTGAGTAAGTGTATACATCTTAAACTGTTTTGGTTATTGAAGTTCGATTTTCTGTGTTTGCTCTGTGACCCTGGACTGAAGCATTTGGTTTTTTCTTGCCGCTAAGGTTTGGTTGTGTTTATTTGTTGCTGAGTCTTTATTTAGGTTCCTGAAGCGTCTAGTTTTGATGAGATTTCAATGGACGGTCCTGCTATATGTTAGTTGATTTTCTGTGCTTTTCCTTCTTGATTTGTTTAATACATGGGTACTCAAAGAAAATTCAGATACAGGATGGGGTAATTACCTCCAATAAATTGATGCAGCATGGTACTGATGATGTATATGAGATAATGCATCCAACAACCATTATGCTCTGTTCTGGACCATCAATACCATGCATTTGAAATTAAATGTTATGGTTTTGTGAAAGGAGAAGTAATCTGAATGAATCAGATATAACTCAAATCGATAAATTTCAAATCTAATGATGGTTATGCAGTAAGGATAGTTCTTGCCATTTATCTCAAGATTTGAACTTTGAGATTTTCAAGTTAAAGTCTCAAATTTTTACCATTGAGACATCATTTGGTGTTAAATCAATGTATTTCAGATACTTTATCTATGTATTTCAGGGAAAATGGGTATTTGTGGAGCTCAAATCCTACGCATGTTATTTGTTGAGGAAAATATCATACATGGGCATCTAATAAGGAGCAACAGATCACTTTTTCATGACCCTTTCACGAGAAGAAACTTTTTAGGAGAGTAAAGCCTAAACAAGTTGAAGGCAGAGATGGAAGCGACCAAAATCAATATGATCGAAGCTATGTAGGCGCAACATATGGCTCCACCAATTTGGAAGCAGAATCTGGTGAACTTGTTGCATAATTTCATCCACTGCACGCTCTTTGCTCCTGTTATAGCCAGAAGCGACTGCTCCAATGCAGCTGAGGTTGTAGCAAACACAACATACACTGTTACCTGGGGAGCAATTGAAATCGTTAAATGAAAATCATGAGATTGAATATAAACATGTTCTTCGTTGAAAGATATTTCTCATATGAGAAAAAGCATGAAAGAATGTTTTGATTATCTGTTTCCTGGAATTCAATGTGTAATCCTGCTATCATTTTCATATTTAATATACAGAAAAAGTAAAATACCTGATCCAAGATGTAACATAGCCAAGCTAGGTATCTATAAGATTTCTTGGAGTTTCCTTCAAACCAATATGGGAATGTATATCTGCAAAGCTGTAGAAAGTTATAAGCTGCAGCGATTGAGGTGGCATACACCAAGCCTCTGCCAAAAGAAATGAGAAGATTCATCAAAATATATAAAGACAAAACGAACTAAACTGGAAGATGAGACAGGTAGTGGAGTACGACTTCTAAATTGAATATTTCAAGTTTAACTTTTCTTTCCATACCAAAGAGAAAAAAAATGAATATTAAGTTTGTGAAATACAAATAGAGGCATATCTTACTCGAGAGCATTCAGTACAGTGAATGAAGCTTTTTTCTGAACGAAGAAGATGAGCCTTGTTTGACTATCTAAGCCCACTAATAAAGCTGTCAAAACCAAGAGCAATGTTGCAGAGAGCCTAAGAAGAGCCTCCATTTTTTGCTTACAAACAGAAACCTTTGGTCTTTCTTCTTGTTCTTCACGCAAACTAACTAAAATGGGCACCCGTAATTATAGTCATAAAGCCTGGTTGCCTAAACCAGGGAAACATGGTCTCCTCTCTGGCATAGAGCTGTCCACACCCATCTCATTAAGTTAAGGAAATTGATTGATTAAAAAGTACGATTTTTGGATGACCCACATGCGGCACCCAACGTGGACTATGGTAACATTTCCTTTTCATCCTTGAGGGTTTTTGATGTCCATGTCCAGAGGTCGCCTGCAAGAGAACATACCAAGTCTGCAATGGCAACATGACAAGTCTAACAAGAGAGGAACAAGAAATGAGTGCAATGCATGGTATGTGACCATGTGAAGCATGGATGTACAAGTATTTATGTTTATCCTAATCAATCCTAACAAGAAATAGATTGTCTATTTGATCCAATTTATGATATAATCTTTTCAGTAGTAAGAATTTAACTTCAGTTGAACATAGTTTTTTAAAAAATGTTTCTGTTTTTTTGAAAGCTATTTCCAATTTCTAAACAGTAAGAAACTAAAGTTGTAAACATGTCCCTACCATATAAGTATGACTTCTACATTGTAGTCACAATATATGGTTGGAACATCCACATCCACATCCAAGTCCAACTGCCTCAATAAATAAGGTTGTTGCAACTAAAAATCATATCCGCAAACGTCTAAATCCAAAGTATTCTGACCGTTCTCCCCCGGATAAATAAATGGTAATGCCCCAAGGTCTGAGAACGGGGTAGCATTTATTTCTTGATAAAGAGGCACGATGGATTCAGCTTTATTTAATTTTTTCTGCTTTGCATGTTCATTAGCCTTCCTATTTAGGTGCAATTTTTCAAACATTGGATAAACTATTTTAACAAAGAAAATAGGATGCATAAGGCTACATTAATTACATTGAAAAAATTATTTTGAAAGGAATAAGAATATTAATGTAGGCTACCATAAAAAAAAAAAAAGATATTAATGTAGGCCTAAAGTGATGATGCAGGAAGTCCAGTCGCTGATTTTAATATTCCTTTTCTTTTTTCTTTGTTTGGATACTCAGGGATTAATCCCTCTGCTTCTTATATGACCTTTAGGTGCACTCCACTGGCTTAATATAATTTAAAAAATTAATTTTAGATATTTGATTAAAAACACTTGAACTATTAAATTTAGATTATAAGATAACACTCCTTAACTCTTGAGATTTTATTTGAAAAATAATTGATATATATTTGGTTTAATATATTTTTTAATATTTATTTTGATTTAATTATTAAAATATAATTCATATCTTTAAATTTATATGTTATTTGATTTTAGATAATAAAATAATAATTTTTTTTAATAAATGTATTATATAATAAATTAAAAAAAAAGTGTATTAATCGTGCCTTT